TACCTTAAAATATTTGACGACTGTTCAGTTAAACATTTTAGAAGAATGCTCTTCCGGTACGGAGCACTTTACATCAGTCCACATGTTTTCCAGTCATGTTTCATTGATGCCTCCAGGTTTTTGCAGGAGTAACCGTACAGAGTAATTATATGGTATTTGAAGTCAGTGCTAAAACACAGATTTCGGAAAGTGACAGGATGTCCTTTCTTGGCAAATCGATATGATGAACTAGAACAAAAAAATCTGCACGATTTCTAGGGAGTGTGTTATACATCTTTTTTATACATTCCTCAGTTTTATACATTTAAGTGGTAGTTTGAATCAGCCATTCTGTTGTTGTATACTTTAAGGATTTGTATAAAAATGTGATAAAAATGACAGGGGACTTTGGTAGCTTTGTCTCGTAAACACTCACCGTTATGACTAGTGTTATCCTTCCATTTTAGTTAAACCACAAATTTATGGCATGTCCCACAAATAGATTAATTAAAATATTTGTGGAATACTTTACAAATTAGTGTTTATGACTTTTTTTTTACTACAGCTGTTGTAGTTTAAGAATTGGACAGAGTTATTGAGCGCAGGCAGCCCTGCTGTGGTATAAAGTCAAAATGCATCTTGGCATCCCAACCATTTCCTCTAAAGAGGATTACAGCCTGAAAATGTTCAACTTTATTGCCATGGGCCTCGTGATAGCATTCGAAAACATGCATGGCATGTCAGTTAAAGTAACTCAGATGTGTCTGTGAAACATGAGGTGGAATGGGTGACCCGTCTTTTCTGTGTCGTTATCTTTTTTAATTAATAACAAAACCCTGTCCTGTGTTTCTCTCAGCCTCGAACGTCCCACAACCTTGTTTTCCACGTTAATCGCAAAATAAAATTGTAGTGTTCCGTTCCATGTGCCTCTGAACAGGACATGCATTGTATTGTTCGTTTTTGGGGTGAACATCTCTAGAACAAGGGCACAGTAAGAAGACTCGTGTAAATTATTGCAGGAGCTTTGACCCAGCTTTTTCTTTAAGGGAAAAAACACTGTGGTGGCAACAGGTTCTGTCCCTGCCAGACCTGAAAGCTTTACAAATGGTTTAATTTATTTTCTGTATTTGTTTTCCTTTTAATTTCCTTTTTGACATGGGAACTAGTCTCTCAGAGTGAAAGAAAACCATTTTTTAAGTATAAAAGAACTTTGCTGAGATTTTTCTTTTGTTTATGTTGTGAAGAGTTACATAAAAGTGTGTGAGAAAAGTTGAAACAAAATGCAGTGGAGTGTTGCCGCACCATACCAGCAGGTCACTGACTAAATTAAAAGAAAAAATGTCATTAATTCAGTTCCATGGGTTTTTCAAGTGAATTCCTCTGGTTTTGCCTGTGATCTAACACACTGAGGTATGCATGAGGACTGATTTCGTAGACAACCGTTCAATTCAATGTTTCACTTGTTCATAAACATTATATTACATTATAGATACAATAATGTAACTTAATAATGTAACACTGTTTGTTTAAGTAATGTCACACAATGGAGCATACAAATGCATGAAGTCAAACTGCACATGAACTAATAGAGACAGAATTAGACAAACGTAAATCTTAATAATTGTGGAATAAGCATACAGTATATATACTGTATACAGATTGTCATAGAATTGCATTGTTGTAGATTATGATAAATGCCTGAATTTTTTTTATCATTATCAGATACATTTTCTGCTTAATAGGCTGTATCAACCAAAAATAAAGCAGTTGCTGTCTGGCCCTTTTCACAGAAAAGGCGGTTTCCTGTTTTGACATGCTGCGCGTTGAATTTCTGTGGAGTGCACAGTAGTCAGTCTCTCTACGGCGTCCCGTCAAACACCCGCTCCCTCACACGTACGCATAGCTCATGAGTGACTGCTCAGCAGCAAGGGCAGTGAGTCACAGACCACAAGACATGCACTGGGCAACCTCGCAGAACTCCAGTCCCCTTGGCAATAACAGCATTGAAGTGTTAAATCATTTAGAATCCTCCCATTCACTTTGTATATCAAAATATAAAGATGCATTTGCTTGTTTTTTTCATTTTATTGGGTAAAAGTTTTTCATTTTTGTATTTTCTAAACCAAGCAGTCCAGTGTTTTTTAAGTGATCTTTCTGATTGGTCCGAGTGGGTGAGAGGTCGGAAATTCAGCCAGATTCTGTGATTTGATCGTGTATTCTTGTAGTACTGGCTGAAATCTTGGATGCTCCTGTTTCTCAGACTGCCAAGGTCAATTGATAAAAAGTCAGAGTGGACTAGTCAGGAAGAGAGCTCTTGTCATTGAGGTTTTTATATTGCGAAACTTAATGTATGTTCTTAATCAATTAAGTTTAATGTTGTCAGTGGAAGGAAATGTTCATTTAATGGACTTTATTTTTTTTGAATCATTGTGCTTAAGTGAAAGTGAGCACCACAAAATACACATCTTTATACTTTCACTGTGCTCTCCAGGTGTTAGAGAAATTGTCCTTTGCATCATGAGATTTGTCTAAAATTAGTTCAGTTCTGTTCACTTAAAGATATAAGACTAAAGCTTTTTTTGTGGTACAGCTTAAGATGACTGACACATTGGCTTTTAATTATTATAAGATAGATGGTCAAGCATGCTGAGCTTGAGTTTTAAACAAGAAAATTAAATGCAAGATTTTTCATTCTTAAAAATAACCAAATGCTGATGTGTTTTGCAGTTCCATTTAAATAGAAACATCCCGATAACCCCACAGACTCTCTCCCCATTCTCTTCTTTCCTGAGTGAAGTTTGATTGGAATAGTTGACAAGCCTCTTTAACTTAAGGCATTCTAAAGAATAGGAGTAAACTAAGCATTGGTGCTGTTCCAAATTTAATAGTTTGTACAATCAACCTCTGTCTGAACAACAGAAAGAAATGTATAACCCTAGGAAATGGCAAGAACGCCTTGCAAACCAGGGGGTCTAGCCTCATTTTTGCTGAAACGCTTATGTTTTACATTTGCTCATTTCCTTACATTCCTCTGGGTTCTGTGAGGAAAACTGCTGGGGGAGAAGCAGACATTAAAATACTGGAAGTCCCTCCCTCACCTCTGCACATACAATTCTTAGATCCCCATTGTATCTCCTGTTTTGCTAGAAACGACACAAAAAGAGCAACTGAAAAGAACTTTCTTTCTGCCCCTTCACGAGTAATTAGTAGTTCATGTGCGCTGTCCATTCTTCAGGAGAGAAATGTGATACAGCACAGTATCAGTAAAGGGACCATTTTGTTATAATTGCAGATGCAAATTTCCTGTGGCCACTCTTATTTTTATTTTAGTTAACCAAATTATTTGGATTAATTCCTATAAAAAACTCTTGTAATAAAGAGAAGGCCATTTGCCAAGTTTCTTGTAGGTTGGGCTCTTCCTGGGTCTAACCTCTTGATCCTCTTAGGTAGGGACAGAACAGTCAGACAATAGCTTTTTGGTCTTCAACAGGGTTGTAAATTAACTCTTAGGTAGCAAACACCCATCCTTTATATTTGGTTTCAATGTTTTAACTTGAGTTCATTGTACAGGATCAGCTGTAAAACAGGTACTAGAATGCAAGGCACACAATGTGACAGTGGTCTGCACAGGTGAAAATTTTACAGTACATTGTATACAGAGTCTATAGGAGAGTTTTGAAAGTTGATGTCTTAAGCACTGTGCTTTGTTGGATATGGGTAGTTGAGGTCTGTATTGGGTTTGCAGGGTTGGATGAGAACAGGGGTGAAATAGATTATGAAGTTCCTTCAACCTATGCTGTAAGCTTAGGGCTCCATCAGTAAAGACTGAGGGTCAGGCGAGGGCCATATTCAGTACCTAGGTAACTATATGAATGATTATGTGATGGAGCTGAAATTCTGTCTGTAAGGGCTCTTGCAGCTTTCAAGCCAACAGTGACTCCTGCTAGTTGGCTGCAGACTTGCAGTGATATCATGGAGAGATGCACCACTCTTCTAAACGGCACAGCCTTCTTCTGTCACGTTCTCTGGATCTTGCAGTCTGTAAAATGTGGAATGGCTTTGCAGATGGGCTTGACCAAAAAGCAGGTCCATGTTTCTCCTGCAGTCACTCTGGTGCAGGAGTTGTTGGAGAGCTAATATAAATTGGGTATGGGACATAATAAAAATTAATGGCAATTCCATATGTGTTCAAAAGTAGTTTGAGAATTTTCTAAACAATTTCTTACTGACGTGGGCAGACATGGACTGCTGCTGTTTTCTCTAGAAAGGCATGGATCAACTGTGTGTGTAAGTTTTAAATTAAAACATTGTGATTGTTGTAGCTAAGGAAGGGTTCGAGACTTGTATTAAAAGTATGTGTTCTCTACAAACAACAGTCATTGACTTGATAGTAAGTGGAAATGCGAACATACTGTAGTTCCTGCAGCATGAATGTTAAACATGGCAAGTGGCATATAACAGGAAGTCTGTGTTCATGCACATTACTTTGGTTAGTGCAGTGTTCAGTTCTGCATCTCAACGCACTTTGTTTAGTACTGAATTGATTATACAGTATTTATTTAGATTGCATTCTTTAGGTGCAAATCCTTTCAATGAAGGAATGAGTTCCATTTCTTTAAGTGCTAACAGCATGTTTACAATTTTATTTTTTTGTCCTATACTTGTTTTGTGTGCTGCCTGTTTTAAAAAGGATTGTAAAACTACGGAGAGCTTAAATTCCTGTTGTTAAAAAATTCTTCTGTTTAGTTCTCGTTTATCACAAAAAAACAGCCACAGATGACGCTCTCGGATCTGCCTCTTAACTTTGCTCTGCAGCTGTTGGGTTCGGTAATAAAGGATCTTGTTCTTCTCTAGACATTGCGTTCACGTTGGGTATTAGAAGTAAGCCTGGCTGAAAATGCAGCTACTTTTCATGCCGATGTGTATTTGAAACCGATAAAACCAGGTATTAGGAAAAGTACACGGTTACGTTTTACGCTTTTCCCCTCTTGTAAAGTGCACTGTTGCATTTTTGCTTGCAGGACTGTTCCAGCTCTGAGGAGTACACGGTGGCTGCTGCACTTCTGCCCCTGACAACAGCCTTTTATCGGGTAAGCCATGATTACATGCCTGAACTCCTAGTGTCAGCCCCCTTCATTTTATGGAGTCAGTTAAGCGGTTGGAAACATTAGGGCCGCTGTGGTTCATATTAATGTTAATCTATTGAGAGCAACACAGCATGCCTCTCGCTGAGAGGTGTGTTGTTTTATAGGGAAAGATATTTATAACTGCGCAGAACAATTGAAAAAGGATGGGTTTAATTATTCAGCTGCCTGAAGTCTTGCTTTCCTGTGAAGGTGGCTGCTTAGTGGGGTATGGACTGGTGATGAAATCCCTGCTTTGGGCAAGTAATTTCCCTAACCACCCCCTGGCCTTGAACACCCCATTAAGAGGGGAGAAAACATACAACTCTATTTTTGGCGGTTGTCCGAAATACACTATTTAGCTGTGCTTTTGTATTTTTCTTGCTTTCCGGATGGCTAGGGCACATGGAAAATTCAGCAGCTTCACTGTTTTGTTTTGTAGCTGGTTTCGCGGATGTATCCCGAAATGAGTCTTTGCCGGGAGCCCCTCTCTGCAGCTCCCAGCGTTTTTACTTTCTGCTCCTCGCAGGCATGTGCACAAACACAAACACAAACATGGAGGGATACAAAGCCAAGGGAACTTGTTTAGAATCCTGCTGTCAGTTTTGTGTGGCGGTGGGGGGGTTATTTAATTATCAATAAATCACGCACACAATAAAAGGAAAAATCTGGCTGCTGGCAAATGCCACGCAGTGCTTAACGCTGTAGTGCATTCAGGGAGTCCTTAAAAAATCCCTTTGCTCTTTGATTGCCAAATATTTGATCGTACATATTTGTTTGCATCTGCGTTATATGTTTTCCACATTTATTGCTCAATAGGCTTGTACTTTACCACACTGCTTGTTTTTGGGTTTTAGCCAGGCCTGGCAAGAGATGAAGGCAGCTCTTGATTTGTGGTTGGTGGTTCTGCTCAGCCAATGGAATACAAAGGCCACCGTAAGACCTGCATTCGTGTGAGTGGGAAGAAATGTTCCACTTTGAAGTGGCCAGTAGCTGTCTCTTTTATGTTAGTGCTCATTGACAGTCCATAAGGAAAACATATCATTGTTTGTAGGTTTGTATGACCTCCCGTTTAGTTCCTTTAGTTGAGCTTGAGTCCCCCTGCCACAGTATGGGACAAATTTGAAAACAGTCTCTTTCCACTGGTGAAAACACAAAGTGTTTTGCTTTAAAATAGTAAGGTGTCTTCTTTAAATCCGTGCAGCTTATTCGTGTCTCGTTTTTTTTCTGTCTCACTTGCACCATGTGTTTGTGTTCATGTACTCAGAAAACACACCTTGACAGACAAATTAAGTAAATAATTCAAACTTCTTTGACAAATATTTTTGTTCCAGTCACATGTTTCTAATTCAATTTTTAATTCTCCACCCCACTTATAAAATGTTCACAGACTGCTTGGTTGGGAAATCGAGTTAAGTTTATCATATTCGTGCCATCTTTAATGAAGTGATGTTTTACATAACTTTTTAATCTGACTAGCAGTTGTTGTTTGTGTGCTGTAGAACAACTTGGATCCTCAGGACTATTAGGTTTAGGAAATACTTGGTATTTTCAAATGAAAAAGCACTTGTGAAACTGATTTATTAGAAAATGTTGGAGAAAAACAGCTAGTATTTTTAAAAACCAACAAAATATTCTTACTGTGTGTTTTTTTTTAAGAAAGAACAAAAAGTTGCCCTTAAACATTTAAAACAGACTGAGATTATTTAAAGCAAGTTTAACAATGAAACTATTCACCTATTACTGATTCTTTAGAAATTATCAGTGTTTCTCCCACTAATCTGGAGTAATTGCTTCTAAATCAGAAGGGTGTATCAAAGATGGACAGTAGCACGTCTTAAAAATAACATGAGTGTTGCTTTACTTTAAGTTTGTTCTTTAAAGCTCTTTCAAAATTGATGCAATAATATTTTTAAAACTTTGGCGATGGAAAGAATTTTTATTTTTCGGTAGATATCTTCCTGAAAAACACAACACCCTACAGGACAGGATAGGGGAATGTGATTTTACCAATTATCAGGGGGCTTCAGAATCTTCAGAGACACCAAGTGCTTGTGTGATCAAAACCAGAACGAGCTACAAAACGTTGTTTGATAAGAGACATTCAGAGGGAAGGGACGTGTTTTGGCAGTTTCTCTTGTTTTGTTCTGAAACATTGCAGTTTTCTTTCCCCTATAAATCATAATAGTTTTGCTGAAATGTTGTTTACCACTATATTTTATGTTGTTGTCTTCTTCCATTTAATTTATGTAAAAAGCTCTGGCTCAGTTTGGAATCTGTTTTTGCTACTTAAAAGGCAAATTAGTGTTGACAGTGCAAGGCTATCTAGAACTTTCTAGAGTACCATTCATCAATGGAAGTGAATTTTGGTCAGAATAGACACCATTTAATAGAGTTTTATCCATTGATAAGAGTTTACAAAAGGGTTCTGTTGGCAAATGTTGAAGAAGAAAGTGTTCGGCACCGAGTTTAAATATCATCTCTTCCAGACACTGCAAACTACGTGCGTTTAACACAGTCCTTGCACTGGTGCAGAGATAATGCTTGAAGAGAGCAGTACTCTTTTCAGAGAGTACCATAATCATCTATTTATAAGCATTAATTGATGTAATTGCATGTACAAAACTAACCATGTTGCAAAATATCTTGGACATCCAGAAATAAAGAGGGAGTTTCACAACCTTTAATATGAAGAGCTGTTGTACACATTTTTTCTGTTGTGCATATTGTGTCACAAGAGATGAGATGTCTGATATAGTCAGCTGGGGAGTTTATCGTTATTATCCCTTTACAGCTGGTGCATTCATCCAACATGAGCTCCCTAGGGTGCAGCTTTGGGTGGATGTCCTTCCACCTTTTTTATCAGCTGAGCAAGACGCAACCATCCAGTTCCAGCCCTATAGCTTCAGCCAATATAATAATAATAATAATATATTATAGCGTCTGGTAGAGTTGTACAATTAGAGTGAAAATTTCAGCTATGGTCTGCCACGTTTTCTATGTTCACGGAGAGTTGGAATCATCCGTCCTGGACAAAATGTTATTTTCTTGAATAAGGTGGGAATAACAATAATGGGTATAAGAGTAAAACCGAAGCAGTGACAATCAAGTAAAGCAAGTGTGCCAGTTGTTTGCAAACAAGTGTAATTCTTGCAAGATGTAAATTGGTGTTTTCTCATAGAGGTTTGATTTCAGGCACTATAGCTCTGCTACTTCAGCTAGTCAGCCTTGGGCGCAGACAGGCAGACCATTGCTTTGGCTTGGCTGAGCCAGTTGAGAGAGGGCATAACAGATTTTACTCACATTACTTACTTACAAGAGGCTTCAAGTGAAATATTCTATCTTCTGACATGATGTGATCCAAGCAGCAACACAACAGGGTCCAAAAAGCTAAAAGAAAGCCAACATCAATTGTTTTTGAAAATGTAATTGCAGATGAACACTGCCCTTTTCCTAATTAATGCATCTCTGCCCATTAAAATTGATTGGCACGCAGCTGAATTTAAAGTAAAACATATCAGTCTTGTTTGTTTTTTCTAAACAAAATGATAGTAGTGTTTGGACCATAGCAGATGTGCAGTTTACATACTGTAGATATCATTACCAGTCAGATAATAAGCTTTGTCTTTTGTGGTGTACCACTGTCTTCGCTACAGACCACTTTGCTGTCGCCACTCTCAATTACCAGGCTACTGTAATGATGTTTGGTGCATCACATGGTACTGAAGAATTAAGAGTTCTTCTAAGTTATTTACTTCAGTGGCTCTGAAGGAGAGAACTGACTCTTGACCATCATGTTATTAATTTCTATTAATTAAAAGCATGATAAGTTAAATGCATCATTGAATACATGTTATTGGATTCACCTTAAAGGATGGAGATCTGATTCATTTGAAAGATAATATAAACCATTACCCGGGTCTCAGGATCCCCAGAGACTTTTTCGATGTTTTGCAGTGTGGCTCCAATGTTTTTCTTCTAGCTATGCAGCATGTCTGTCTTTTTTTATACGGTAGCACTGCAGCAAGAGAGAGTGGTAGGTCATTGGCGTTCTGCCTTAAGTTGCCCTTCTTTGGGTAGCAGAGAGAGATTGATAATGGGCAGACAGGAGTCTCTCAGCACTGTATGTACTGTACATGAAAGTAAATGTTTTTATGCCCAGTTGCTTTGAAAAGGATTTAGTAAGAAGTCAGATAGCAGATGCTTTCATCCAAAGTGATTTGCAGAGACTAAGGAGTGAACCACACTTCTTTACTTACTGCCTGAGAGTAATTTTCATTTTTAACATCTCGGCTGAATGACGAACCATGGTAAGATTAAGTTATTATTTTGCTTCAAGAGATACAGCGAGCCAGTTCAGGTAGGAGCATGAACCAGGAATTTCCTGGGCACAAGCTCTTAACCATCAGCACCTTGTGTCCCAAAGCCGTTTAAAGGACAGAAAAAAAAGCAGATTTAATTCTGAGAGGCTGGGAGAAAGCTGCACATGGTTTTCATTTCAGTGCAGCTTGCAGGAGCTCGTCATGTGGAAGATAACCACTTGCTGTGGTCTGAGTCGTCACAGTGTCAAACCGGGGCTGGAGAAGTGTACAGTGTACAGTGGGACCAGGCAGTGGTGTTTTCTCTCTTGGCGTTGGTTGTTTATCAGGCGGTTGACTTGAAATTAAAACCGAGGTCTCCTGAATATCTGCCATGATTGACACACAGCAACCAGAATAGCGCTGCTGATTATTAAAACTACTGTACAGTGACATCATGTCTGGAACCAATTAGGTCAGGATTTCATGAGTTGAACCTATCTATATATAACAGCAGTATATAAAATCAAAATAAATGTTATATATAAAGTGAACTATCTGTGTTTTAGGCTTGCAGCCAGTTAAAATTCCCATTTATAATGTCCTGTTGGTTTTCGACAGACTTCATTTCAAAGTTTCTCAAATGAAAGTCTGTTTTTCTATCAGTGT